TTACGAAAGCTCATTTCAACTATATTCGTGCATTGCAAAAAGTTTTGTATCTTTTGCATTTATATAGCTTGAACTTATACTTTCAGGGAAATATTCAGAAATGCGCCCACAGTCCATTGCATTCCTGAATGTTTAAACCTTTTCTGCTGGAGGTAATTAAGGAATTCAACCGGGGGGGGGGGAGAAATTTTTTTATAAGCTTTTTTTATTATATTTACTTAATTCTCATATATAAAATGATGGTTGTTACATTTTAATAAAACATAAAATAGATATTGGCCAAACCAGAATAGGCGCTATAGTTTTCAAATTTAAATTCTTTTTATTATTATTTCATTTTTAATTGCTATAACAATATAATAACACTTGCTACGATAGTGGTAAAACCAGAATAGGAGCTATCGTTTACAAATTTAGATTCTTTTTATTATTATTTTGTTTTAAATTACTATAACAATATAATAACACTTGTTACGATAGTGGCCAAACCAGAATAGGAGCTATCGTTTTCAAATTTAGATTCTTTTTATTATTATTTTATTTTAAATTACTATAACAATATAATAACACTTGCTACGATAGTGGTCTAACCAGAATAGGAGGTATCGCTTTCATATTTAGATTCTTTTTATTATTTTATTTTAAATTACTATAACAATATAATAACACTTGTTACGATAGTGGCAAAACCAGAATAGGAGCTATCGTTTTCAAATTTAGATTCTTTTTATTATTATTTTATTTTAAATTACTATCGCAATATAATAACACTTGTTACGATAATGGCCAAACCAGAATAGGAGCTATCGCTTTCATATTTAGATTCTTCTTATTATTATTTTATTTTAAATTACTATAACAATATAATAACACTTGCTACGATAGTGGCAAAACCAGGATAGGAGCTATCGTTTTCAAATTTAGATTCCTTTTATTATTATTTTATTTTAAATTACTATCACAATATAATAACACTTGCTACGATAGTGGCCAAACCAGAATAGGAGCTATCGTTTTCACATTTAGATTCTTTTTATTATTATTTTATTTTAAATTACTATAACTATATAATAACACTTGCTACGATAGTGGCCAAACCAGAATAGGAGCTATCGATTTCAAATTTAGATTCTTTTTATTATTATTTTATTTTAAATTACTATAACAATATAATAACACTTGCTACGATAAGGCATAGTGGTTAAGACACTGTCTTGTTATTGTGTGTTTTATTAATTTACGGTGCTGGCTTGAAGATCCCCCAAGTCAAAATTGGCGAGCGCAATCGATATCTGCCTGGAAAGTAAAGGCAATCCGCGTGGAATGCGGACCACATTGCTACCATCATACCGCTGGCGAGAAAATTATGGAGAGCCAACAACGGGCTGTTGCGAAAATGCTTTACAATAATTATACCGAAACAGTCAGGCTGGTAGGGCACTGGGCCCATGTCCAAAAGGTCGTGGGTTCAATCCCCGCCGGCCGAAGACTCCCGTGTAGTAAATGGTGACTGATGCAAGTTAAATCTGTCGAATCACATAGTCCTCCATGTTCCCATAACAAATCGTACCTCTGGGGGTACTGATTCAGAAGTTTCCTCTTCTTCTGGATTGGTTCAAAATTACAAGGCTACGGAGTTGAAAATTAGTAGTCGTAAACCCAAAATTAGGTCGGCTTTTCAACAACGGTTATAAAAGTAGAAAATATAATAAAATACGATAATTATACAATCAATATTTTTCAAACAAGTTTCTTAATAATTAAAATTTTGAGAAAGATCTGTTTTCGCAAAAGAATTTTTAATGCCTAAGAACACTTGTTTTTGTTATTTTAAGGGTGGGAAGACTATTTCAGCAAATCTCTATTAAAAAAAAGACTTACTGTATTAAATTGCTATTCTGAAACTGTTGATTGTCTAGTTTTCTTATTTAAAATTTATGAGAAAAATCTTAAGATATGTGTCCTCTCAATGAAATAAACAGGACTTTTAATTTTATTTCTGGTATTTTTCAAAGACATTATTACTTTACAAAGATGATATTATGCAAAGAATAATACTTTATTATTAAAATTTAGAGAACGAAAAAAAGCTTATATTTAAACCAGTAGACCAGGAGAAACCGGCAAAATCCAGTAGTCTACTGGAAAATCCAGAAGAGTTGGCAGATACAAAAGTGTGCAGTCTGATATACCTCGTTCTGTATAGAGAACTAGATCTGAAAACAGCTTTTCTGTTAGATACATTAAAAAATAAGAAAAATTACGAACGACAAACAAAATGCATTCCTTTTTAGTATTTAACCAGTTTCTACTTTAATTTAAATTATACCTTTTATGATGGAAAACTTTTTTTTAAGAAAAAAATATATTTTCTGCATCACTGGTTATCAGGTTGATGAACTTAAACTGAAGAAATATTATGAATTTTTTTTTTAAGATTTAAAAATAACGATGGTAAATGTAACAATATCAAATCGAACCCATTAAGAAAAGACTGGTACATATATTACAGAAGAAATATATTACAGATTGCATAAGTGAATAAATTACTAATTGTATCGTTTATATGTACAAATATTATATTAACTTTTTTCCTAATTATTATTTTTTTTAAAAGAAAATTTTTTCATCTGAACAGAATTTTGAAGATATGTTTATTTTAATGTTTTTAAATTATCTTGTCAGCCGAAGACATGCATAGAACGCACATATGCTAATCGAATGTGGAACTTACCGGTAAAAAAAAAATTTAACTTTAGAGATAATAAAAAAAAATATTTTTTAAAACCACGTTTTTGTAGTGGAGAATAATAATTAAAAAACAAGAATTTGAAAAACGAAAAACGGGGGGAGCATGAAATACATTACAGTAATGTTATATTAGTGTGTGTATGTGTGCTCATGAGAATATGTGTATGTATATCTGTAATTGTAATTGTATCTGAATGTGTATGTGAAATATGTTTGTGTATATGCATGTGTATGTGCATGTATATGTGGATGTGCATGAGTAAAAAAATGTGTATATGTATGTGTATATGTACTGTTATGTATTTCATGCGCCCCACGTTTTTTGTTTTTCAAATTTTTATTTTTTAATTATTATTCTCCACAACAAAAACGTAGCTTTTAAAAATATTATTTTTTTATTTTGATTTTTTTTGTACTCACTTCCAAAATCTCAATTTTTTCACTCACTGTACACAAAACTTTTCAACTGACATGTGACACTAATTTGAAATAATCGAAACGACAACAAAAGACAATCGCGGAAATACTAATTTTTCTTTAATTTTAATTTTATTTTACTTCGTATGTCTTCTTTCTCTTCATTTTCATGTATTGTCATCCAATTCTGAACTATGTGCCAAATTTGAAGTCTGTAGCCAGTCGGGAAGTTAGCTTAAAATCGATTACAAAATTCCACCTAAACAGACATACACGAAGGCAAGTTAATATAAACGTGGTAAAATAGTAAAATTTTCAAGAGAAACCAAGAAATTCAAGACACTTCCCACAGAGGCTACTAGTAGAATATGGAATTTAATACGACATAACGTTGGAACGTTAAGAAAACGTAATAATAATTGGCTCTTAACAAATTATTTTCAACATGAAACTTCATAAAAATACATAATTGCACTAGAGACATTAATCAAATGACGAGACACAATTAATCTCACAATAATTTTTTAACGAAATTGGAAAGCAATGTTTTAAATTTTTAAGGCATTTATTCGTATGGTGACACTAGTTACACAATGAACATAATTACACAGCATAGAGACACAAATACAGTCTTAGTCCTCTGTGCTTGCTCACTGTAAGAAGAAATTGTACACTCACTTCTTGACTACATGGACCGTATGAAACTGTTCGCCTGTTTTATGTTCATTGAAAGTATGTAAGTCAGATGGAACAGATTTGAATTATGAAAGAGTTCATTGAAAATATGAACGTCATATGGTGCAGAATTGGAATAATTCACTGAAAACATGAACGTCATATGATATACTAGATTTAGACTAGAGTAGAGTTTATTGCAAATATAAAAGTCATATGCTGCAGATTTGAGTTATGGAAGAGTTTATTGAAAATATGAATGTCATATGATGCGGATTTGGACTAAAGAAAAGTTCATTGAAAGTATAAACCGTCATATGGTACAGATTTGAATTATGAAAAGAGTTCATTGAAAATATGAACGTCATATGGTGCAGAATTGGAATAGTTCACTGAAAACATGAACGCCATATGATATAGATTTAGACTAGAGCAGAGTTTATTGCAAATATAAAAGTCATATGCTGCAGATTTGAATTATGGAAGAGTTTATTGAAAATATGAATGTCATATGATGCAGATTTTTGGACTAAAGAAAAGCTCATAGAAAGTATGAACGTCATAGGGTGCAGATTCGGAGTATGGAAGAGGACAGTTTAGTCTCCTTCACATAATCGAAACACTATTTTTGGTGAAAAGTAATCATGTTAAGAAAACTTTGAAAAACTAAGAAACCATTACAGAATATATTTTTTACAAAAATATATAAAAAACAATAATGTCAAGGAGTGGTGCTCAGTAGCTTTAAATAGCACATATCAATGAGCACAACATTTTGCAACTGGATTTCACAATAAAATAAATGACAAAACAATTTCAGACAATAAAGTTCAGTTTTGTCACATAATCCCATAACTTCTAAAGCAGCGTGAATAAAGCACAGGTGAAAGTACAGTACCTATTTTTTGTACTTTCATTCGTGTTTTATTAACGTTGTTTTTTGCTGTAGTCTACAAAGCACAAATTATACCTTATCTTTTGTGGAACAATAACTTCTGGTCAACATTTTTACTCTGAGTAAAATTAACTTCTTTTAAAATAACTTATTTTTTCGTAAGTTATTTTGTAAAGAACACTTGACACTTGAAAGTAGCAGCAAAACTATTGATTTCGATATTTTAGTGTTGAATATGGGTAAATATAAAATATAAACGTACCTAGATTGGAATTATTTGATTTATGCTGTTCTACTTGTCCTCTAAGCGCCCTTAGTCGCCGAAGTTTCAACTCTTGCAATTCCACTTTCTCTCTCAAATACCGTAATCTGTCCCCTTCTTGGGCATGGGTATTCGGTCCCTGATGGTGTCGAGCTTCTTGTTGCTTCAGGAATTTCAAGCGTTGCTCTTTGGCGACTAATAGTTGCTGATGGGCTTCAATTTGGTGCTGCTGCCGGGCCGCCATCTGGCGCAGGTCCGCCAGACTCAGCTCATTGCTTTCCGGAAGCTAAAATAAAAAGAAATACTGATTAAAGAATTTGTTTTGAAAAGCTGTTAAAAATTAAAGAAAAAAAGCGAAGCAAAATTTAAGAAGAAAAATAAATAAATAAAAAAGGAAAATTAGATACTGTTGAGATGAGTATGTTATGATATGATGTAGATATTTCTAACTAAACTTTTAAATTAAGACGAGGTATTTATTAATCAACAATTTTAATACTAAAAAAAGAGCTTTTGATATTGCCCTATTTTGACAGGATTGATCCCTTTATTTCCTAGATGTTTCTTCAAGATTTGTCTGTTCACTGCAAAAAATCCCGGATCAAATTGCAGGAAAAAGTACCGGTGTGAGGATAACGATACTTTTTACCGAAACTTATTACGGAAGAAAAATCTGATATGCCATCATTTTTACAGTATCAATTACACTAAAACCAGTGACTCACTCTAATTAAATAAATATTGCAGTAAAAATTACGTTAAAAATGGATTTTACAGATGATGCACCCAAAGTGCCGGTACCGTAATTTTTTACTGCTCACGTAACAGCCAGCAATAATAATAAGAGTTTCTCATTCAACCCAAAAATATCCTAAGCACTTTTAAATGCAAATATCTTGCCATTCACTTTTAAAAGAACTATTTTTAAAAATAGAAAGGAAATGTACTACTCGCATGCTATTAATTTCAAATATTTGAAATTCAATTCGGAATATTAAGAACATATCATCTGTCAAAGTAATATCAGAAGACGATTTATTTCTTTAGTGGATAAAAACAAGAAACGGAAAACGTTCAATGCGTTAGTCCCTAGAGAAAATTGTTAGAACTAAGACCCGTTTGGATAAGAGCAATGGTCCAGAATGCGATTATTTATATTGTTCAAAATGCAATAAATATGCCATAAAATAAAATTCTACAGATGGGATAGTATTTCTACCCGAGCGTTCCAAAGAAATAAAATTGTATCAGGAAATAAGGCTTTTGCTTTTATTGTTATGCTATCAGTAGATCAAATGTTACATTATATTAATGTGAACGTAACGTGTTAGCTTAGGGTTGTTTACATATCTGCATAGATTATTTTTAAAATGGAGTTACAGCAATTGCTTAAAAATTTTAATAGAAAAAATACAAAATGTACAGAAAATAATTCATTTCGAACTAAAAGGACTATATAATGTATGTATTCTATGTGCCCGAACGTACACAAAATAATGATTTGATGTAAAATAAAGTAGGGAAGAAATTATTTGTATTGAAAAATTCAATTTAAAAGCGGAAAGCAGTAAAGTGGTAAGCCTCGCGTTTTCAAGAGGTAGAATTTTTTACATCCAATTTCTCTTTAGTATTATTTTTAGTTTTCGAAATTTCTACTATAGGGGAGAGTGGGGTCAATTGTAACATTTTTTACTTAACTATTTTTAACTAACAAAAAATTCAATATATTATTAGTATTTATTGGCAGTCGTGTAAAGTAGACTATCCTCTACTAGAAGAAAAATAAATACCTGATTTTAAATATTATTATATTAGTTATTAACAATTTTTGACAGTCGTGCACTTGTTACAATTGTCCCCACTTACGGGGTCAATTGTAACAGTTCATAAATTCAACTAAAACATAGTTAATTATACATATTATCATAGTTGTGATATATTTTTTTATTGATCAAAATAGTAGTGATATTTTAGGAGTAAAAATAATAATGAGCAGAGACCTAAAGGGTTAAACTTTTAACTTTAAGGGGTTAAAAATTTTAATTTATGCTGTGAAAGGTGACAAATAAAATAATGCACATGCAACATAATATAAATGATATAGGAAACTATTGGTGGTTCTTAAAGAGTTAAGTAATGGTTTGTAAACATAAGATTATTTATTTTCAGCTGTTACAATCGTCCCTTTACTTATTGTTACAATTGTCCCCAAGACGCCATTTCAGCTTCATTTGTTAAAAACAATGCTAGTTAATTAGCAAAACTAATCTTTTTTTTATTGAAATGTTAATTAAGGTGTCCACTTACATATTCGGTTACTAATTTTTATTTGTTTAAACAAAATTACTTTGTTACAATATAATATTCTAATACCAAAAAAAGTACTTGCGTGGCGTGAAAATATCTTTTGTGATGTAACTCTTTCAAAAGTACATAAAAATGGTTGCCATCAGGGGTGTACATGTAGATTTATTAAATACACCTTGTGCGCCACCTAGGAACCAAATCTAGAATCCGACACTCGAAATTTTTGCTCTGTTACAATCGTACCCTGTTACAATTGACCCCACTCTCCCCTATAACGGCTACTACAGAGAAACTTGTCATTTTGTACATGGAAATCATGACTTTTTTATAACTTAAACAAAGCTTTTTGCTGTTTTGGCGACGTATGTTTGGCGAGAAGAAATCAGTATGTAATGGAATCCAATTTTCAAATTTTTTTCGGTTAAATGTTATTTTTTGTCAAAATAGGTTTACCTGGGCGAGGATCAGCCAATGATGAATACTTTTTTGCTTCGTTGGCAGTCAAAATTTCATGGAAAGAATTTAAAATGTAGCGATAGAAGAAGTTCAATGTAGAAGTAGACGATGTTCAAAGAATAAGTTGTAAAAAGGTTCCTTTTTAAAAAGACGGCTGCGCCATATAAGATAAAGTTGAATGACAAGGAATTTAATTAATATGCAATACAGTAAATAAGATAAGAGATATTTTATAAAAGCATTTAATGAAAAATAATAACAGCGAAATATATATTTTTGCGAAGCGTTCTATTTACATCTCTGAATGTTGCCACCTTTTTATATTAAAGTCAAACTATTCTCTGCTGTAATAAAATTAGACTTATGCGAACCTTACAAATTATCATTAAATTGTCTCAAAACCTTCAATTGTCTGTTTGCACCAAGATCAAAGGTATCATCTTCAGGCATCTTTAAAAATTTACAAAAAAGTTCTTTTTAAATTTATATTATTTGTATGGCAAAATTCTATCAAAGGGCTTGGAGAAATATTGAGAAAAACCACACTCTTTTGTAATGTGTTATTTTTCATCAACCTGTTCTTTAGTATTGTTTCAGCATAGTTATTTAATCTATACAAATTTCCGAAATTTCTACTAGATAACAGCACACTCCATCCACAGAAGCATCTTATTGACGTCATGGAATTCGGGATGCTTTTCATTCAAAACGTTTTCCTTTACTATAATTAATATTTTCTATTTGAAAATATTATCCCAAGCTTTTTAACTAAATGTATGACCACCAGTAACAAAAGCATCATACGTTAGCACTATCACTTCAATGCAACTACTTTAATCTTTTAACGTTAGAATTTATTCTTAATTCGGATATTTTCGTAGTTATACTTTCAGGGATTTTTAAAATAATGCAGTTGCTTGGGTTTTTCAGAATAAATTTAAGGACACAAATGTTTAAACTTTACTTACAATTACTACAAAGATAAACTTTTGTTTTAAAATTTCGCTTCACGTTTGGGCGAATGCGCTGTTGTAACCAAGTATATCTCTCTGTAGCATTCACCTCTATATGCAAATGCAATCACTTTTACAGCCGCAGGAACGAAAGTGCTACAACTGAAGCGATAAATATATTTCTGTAAGTAGCAACATTGTGATTCATCGCATGTTATCGCGCCAAAAAAAGAGAAAAAAATGCCAAAGGAAGGATTCCGGAGTTCAAAACGACCATGTGTCAAAAACTTCCAATGGCGAATAGTATCACAGACATCGTAAAAAATTAGGAAAAAAAAAAATTGAAACTTTCAATTCTGATATTTTTGAAGCTATGGAATGGAAATGAGGTAAGATGGAAAAGAAACCGCCTTCTCCACTTAAAGGGCTTCGATGTTCGATAATGTTCGTTGCAGCCTTGGGGCAATAAGATGAGAGAATTTCCAAGGAAGGAAAGAAAATCTACTCCAACCACTTTAGATACTTATATTATATATCGTGGAAATACTGAGATTGCGGAAAGAAAGGTAATTTTTATCTAGAATAACCGTCGTTTTTTCTTATTATTATATTACTTTTTATCGATTTTTGGTTTAAGTTTTAGCTACTATTTTATTTGGTTTCGTTTCAATCATTATGTAATAATCTTGATAAAGCGGCAAGTATAATAAAATAAGATATAGTTTTCTGCTAAATCTTTAAAGAGTAAGAATACAAGTTGCGTAGCTCTTTTCGATGACGAATTTTAGTGCTAAAAAATCTTATGAATAAAACAAAATAGCGTGAATAAAACATAAAGGCACAGAAATTTATTTGTTGTTTTGCTTTATTCATACGTAGTCGTAGTACCAAGTATACCCTATACATCTTAGTACAAAGTATATCCTGTCCTCTTTGCATGTCATTTACTATTTTCATGGTTAAGGCATGGGAATTTATTTGTTGATTTGCTTTATTCATACATAGTCGTAGTACCAAGTATACCCTATCTTAGTACATAGTATTATATCCTCTTTACATGCTATCCTATCCCCTTTACATGTAAACCTATTCACTCTACATGTTATCCTATCCTTTTTACTATTTTCATGGTAAAGGCACAGAAATTTATTTTTTGATTTGCTTTATTCATTCGAAGTCGTAGTTTCAAGAATACCCTATACATCTTAGTAACAAAGTATTTCCTCTCATCTTTGCAAGCTATTTACTATTTTCATGGTTAAGGGACGGGAATTTATTTGGTGATTTGGTTTATTCATTTTTTACAGCAATATTTATTTAATAGAGTGATTCAGGGAGGAGTTTACGGTGATTATAACTGTGAAATCACTGAATCACTCTAATTAAACGATAATTGTTACTGAAATTATTACTGTAATTATTACCGTAGTAATTACATACGGCAATCATTACTGTAAAAATTTATGGTATATCAAATTTCTTGTTTCGTAACATGTTCCGATAAAAATGAATTTTACGGTAAAAAGTGCCGGTACTTTAACTGTAGTTTACTTACAGTATGGTGTACAGT